TTTTTTTTTTTTGGGGGGGGTTCCCTTTCAAAAACAAGGTTATTTAAAAAAATTGTTTTTGCGATTTTTTTTTTGCCCCCATTTTGGGGGTTTTAAATTTTCCCTTCGCCGGGGGGGGGGGTTTCCCAAACCCGGGTTAATCAATTTTTTTTTTAGGGCCCCTTTTTCCCGGAATTTTTTTTCCTTGGTGGGGGGGCCGGGAGGGGGGAAAAATTTTTTTTTTTAAAAGGTTCCCCCCTTTTTTGTTTTGGAAAACCCGGAAAAAAAATTTTTTTGGAAAATCTTTTTTTTTTTGGGGCCAGATGTTTTGGGGGCCCTTCTTTCGGGGGGGTTTTTTTATAAATTTTTCTTTTCCCCTTCCGTTTCTTTTTTTTTTCCCTTCCCCGAAACCCTCCCCCCTTTTTTTTTTTTTTTTTTGGGGACCCCCCCCCCCCCCCCCCCCCCCCTCAGGTAACCTTGCCCAGCCAGGCGGCGGCGGCGGCGGGAGGCCTCTCCGTCGGCGGAGCAGGAAGAGAAAGAGACGGGAGTTCAGGGATGGGAGGCGGTGGTGACGGGGAGAGGGGAGACGGGGGTCTCCTGGCGAAGAAGGTGGCGCGGCAGATCGCAGAGAGGAAGAAGCAGGACGAGGTCCCGTTCCAGACCAAGGCCATGCGGGAGATCGAGCGGCTGCAGAAGTCGACCGTGTACCGGACCACCGTCATCAAGGTGAGAAGGGATTGTGAGAAGGGGTTCGATTTTTCCCGTGAGTTAAAACGACAACGATTTCGTCTTCAGAGGAACAAGCACATGGCGGTGTCTTTCGCCATGTTGTTTCTGGGCGTGAAGTGCGATCCGAACCGGGGGTGTCCAAGCACTTGGAGTAGTAGTGGAAACTAAGAGCATTACATGCCAAGGAAAGTGTGGGCGGAGGGGTTCGTGTATGTTCATGTGTTCACAAAACTACAATATGCATACCTTACAGGGACGAGTACATTGCGGTGTCTCTCGACGTCCTGCTGTGAGTAGGATATATCTCGCACGTCGTGGGCACACTTTTTTTTTTTGGTCCTGTGCGTATTTTTCCATCTCGACCGATTGCGCGGTCTCTCTCTCTCTCTCTCTCTCTCCCTCTCTCTGTGTCGTCCTCTGGATGCTGCAAACAATCGAAGTCATACGCGCCTTTCTTTGTTTTTGTTCTCGTTTACCGCAAGTACGGTTCCCCTCTGGCCGCTGCAACTATTCAGAGTCTGACCTTCCCTGCACACCTGTTTTTCTTTTCGTATACCACGGTTCCCTCTGGACGCTGCATACAATCGAAGTCTGACCCCCACACACGGCTTTGTTCTCCTTTACAGCAGGTCCGGTTCCCCTCTGGCCGCTGCAAATATTCAGAGTCTAATCTTCCCTACACACCTGCTTTCTTTTTCGTATACCGCAGGTTCAGTTCCCTGTGGACGCTGCAAACAATCGAAGTCTGACGCCCCCCCCCCCCCTGCACATTTGTTTTTTTTGTGGTATTCCACAGGTTCAGTTCCCTGATCGGGTGGTCCTGCAGGCGACCTTTGCGTCGACCGAAGGCGTGAAAGACCTTCTGGACGTCGTCAAGAGCAGCCTGGAAGATGACGTAGCGGCAAGGCCGGTGAGCGAGCAAACGCCGTGCTCGAAGACCGGGCTCGACTGCTTTGTGTGGATCGTCTGTTTGTTGCTGAAGTATTTGTGCCGGCTTCCGGCGTGTCCTGCTTGCCTGGTGTCCGCCGTCCCGCCATGTTGACGCGCAGGGTTTCTTGAGGAGGCTAGGAGGAACCCCTACTGTAGCTGCGACTTGCTCGTATGAGATCATGGCGTGCTTGCCGTAGAAGCGGTATGACGTGGTGTTCACCAAGCGCCCCCAGAAGACAATCGCCTATTTAACAGCTAAGGCATGATTACCCCCCCCCCCCCCCCCCCCGCTGAAATCGGTAGGAAAGAAAAACCAAGCGAAAAATTTTTGAGCCCACTTTGGGAAAGTAGGAAGGAACCATTGGCCCCCGGGGATCGGGCCTGGGGGAACAATGGTCCGTCCTCTCGAGGGGGCGGGGGCAATGGGTTAACCGCTAAGGGATGCAAAAACATAAAAATACGCCCCCCCCCCCCCCCCCCCCAATAAAAATCTCTTTTGGGGTGGGAAAAAAATATCAACTTGCAA